ATTGTTTTTGCACCGAATAAAATCGTTTTATTAACAACAGTGTCCATGATGCCGTCGATTACGTAATGAAAAACTGATAGGTTGTCCACGTTTGCCTGACCAGCTATGTCAAGCATCCTATACAAAAATTCACGACAAGATTCGCTTTTGCCTTTTCTCGACTCGCGCAGTTTTTTATGTACGTCGCTACTCGTCAATTTTGACTGAAACTCTTGGGTAGGAGCGTTTTTCAGCTGGTTATATGAAATCGGTTTAACTTCGCATTCGATGTATAATTTTGCTGCGCCCGTAAGGGACCTTTTAGCAAACACAAATTTTTGCAAAGAATTCCACCTAAATGCATTTGCGTATGCTTCGAATTCGTCGATCCATGCAGTTACAAGAACAGTGTCTTCGCCGGAGTATTTCCTCACTATGTTCTCGACATCATTCACAGTAAATCGCATTGTACCGGGATCGTCGATAATGTCTACGTCCACCGCACTCTCACTTCGTTGTAATCGCCTGTTTCTGGCACTCATTATGCGACCGAATAAATCGAATTGGCTAGCTCGACTGACTTACTGTAGGATTCCGTTTTACCAGTGCACCGCTTAGCTTCACTTCAGTACTGTCCACAACGCGTGATCTTATTCCAGTTATTACAATAAAAACTAATATTTGTCACGATATATCACGCCATCAACTTCCATCCAGTTGTTTTTTCTGCTTAGCTGATAGCAACAGCCTCTTTAGTATCAGCAGATTTTGCTTACTCGCCTTCGTCACCTTTATAGTTGTTATTTTTCTTCTACTTCCACCTACGTTCGCTTTGTGATAGAAACCGGTTTTCGCTTAAATAATTGTCTTTTCCACTGGCACAAATCCCGGTTGAGCCCCCAAATGTGGTATTTTATTTAATGTAAATAAGAAGTTACATATATATTTTAAGCAAGATATGTATTTAATGTTCACAAGCGAAAGAAATTATGTATTTGGCAAAGAATTTTAACAACGTCCACGTTTAGCGTCCGACCTCCACCGCAGTCTGTCAAAGACTCTCCTGCTTGTCAACCGCACCACATGTATAGGTTTGGGTTAATATGCACAAACTTTTTTTTTGTGTAAAGAGACATATGTACATTTGTATAAGCCTGTACAGAAAATATATTTGTTTACGCAGTTAATTTGTTTTTATTGTACCAGCTGCTTATGTTTTGCTAAGTGTTATGTTATCTTTAATTTTAATAAACTTGACAATGAAAAACTATAAAAAAATTTTGGTAGGGTTTAGTTGGCTTTGGTAGGCAACACTTTGCAAAACTTGTTTTTTTACTTTTAAAAACTACTTTTGCCCTGACCAACGAAACTAGGGCTGACTTCATAAACGCAAATTGCAAAGCAAAATTGCAATCAGATGCATTTTGCAAAGCAATACTTTATGGTAACCACAATATAACCAGTAAACAACCTTCGGTGAATTTGGCGACTGCCTTCCTCAGGGATGAATATGCCAGGGGTGAAATTTTTGGTACACACGCCTTCTAAGCACGCAGGGTTGCTTTTGAGAAACAAAAAATAATTAACTCCAAATAGTTTCAAAAAGTATAGTGTAAAACGAAATTTATTGAATAATTCCACATAAAATGGTATACATAAATCACTCATTTTCTAAAAAATTTAAATAAAACGCATTTCATATCCTTTTTTGTGCAAAGGGCATATGCCAATTGATAGAAAAGTACTACGGATTGTATGTTTTTGTTAACTATGAGGTGACTGAAAATTTTCAACCCGGTCTGACGGTTTTGAAGAATTTTTTTCTAATGTTATTACTAAGACGTCTAATAAATGCATGGCTTTTAGTTCTAGAAGAATCAAAGTCACTAAGGACAAGTATTTTTTGTATAATTTCTGCATTTTAATTGATCAACTTCTTTTGCACCAGAGCAGCGGTCAAAAATTTGCAGCAGTAAAAAGTTACGCAAAGCAGAAATGTAAAATTTCCTCGCCATAATAAAAAGTTTTGGTAATTCACTAGTATAGGGTAACAACAGCTAAAAAAGGTCCGGAAAAGTCGGGAGGGGTACCAAACGACGCGTTTCGGTCCAGCTATTAACAATCCGGAGGGGGAGGGCTAATATTACTAACCATTTAAAAGTTATAAACAAAAAACTTTTGTTAAATTTCGTTGTTTTCTATGAGCAATTACCACGTCAAAAATACACTAAATCACCAGTTTCCACTTTTAAAACACTATTAAAATATATAATTTAACTTAATTATTAAACAAACACATCGTTTTATCAACCTAAGATAGATTATTTTGTTACTAAAAAAGAAGTTGACAATCTTTGCGAACTGAAACGCGAGATTCCAAAATAGCTACAGTGCTGCCACTGTATTAGTATTTCGTAAGAATTCACTTTTCCTTACAAGGCGTGTGCAGTGTTCAATGCTTTTCGGTATCTTCTTTCGTTTATTATATATATATTATATATATAAATAATGAAAATTTTTAATAAAAAATCGCGCGAAAACAACGAAATTTAACAAAATCTTTTTATAATATAGTTAATAATATTAGCCCTCCCCCTCCGGATTGTTAATAGGGGGACCGAAACGCGTCGATTGGTACCCCTCCCGACTTTTCCGGACCTTTTTTAGCGGTTGTTACCCTATACTATAGAATTACCAAAGTTTTTTCTACATGGAACTTTTCTACTAATTGACATGAAATTACTATCTCAACGCTCGGAGCGCTACCACTGAGGGCCTTTGCCAACTGATAAAAAAGAGAAAATTTGGAAAGACCAAACAAAAATTTCAAGATTTCTCGTTGTGAATACGAACGCCACAATTTTTAGCTAGCTCGTGGGACTACGAAAAATTTTGACAGCTTTTAAATATGTATACACATAAAGTTGGCGGTAATAAAGAGTCAAAATCAAAATGAAGAAAAGAACAAAAAGCGTACGTTAGTTGTCAGTTATAAAATAAATCAAATTTATTTGCGAATATTTGTTTATTCTATTTATTGAAAGGCAACCACGCGGAAAAGCTTGTGTTAATTATATTGATAACAGAACCTGGCAACTCGCACGTTGTCTAAATTCTCAAGTAACATCAAATCCACAAAAGAATACATTGCTTGTATTACCATCAATACGCCATGTATAAATTTTAACAACACACAAAACTAGAGCTTTCGCATGAGCGTTTGTTTGGTTTTTCAACACCATTTATAATTTTCTTTTAATAAAATCACGATTTGTCAAATGCTTAAATTTATTTATCTAATAATAATGGAGCACACAACCCTGAAATCTAAGAAAAAGTCTGAGGAAGGCCATTAAATAGCAGCACACAACCCAGTGCTTTCCTCCCCTACAATAATTGTGTGATGGAAACTAACACATTCTCATTTATCTTACTAACACATTTATTTTGCGTTGGTTAAAAAGAGACCATTAAATAAGACCATAAGTTTAAAGAGGATAAAAAGGTAGTGTTTGATGGACATTTCCATCACCACTGAGTATCACATGATCGATCAAATGACTATCACTGTTCTTGTAGGGTCAAGGGTGAATAAAGCTACAACGCACACGATTACTAAACAAGTAATTTTTAGCAAAAAAAAAAACCGACCTCAACTCCCATATAAAAAAAATATGTATATATATATTAGGGCTCGTAAAATTATCCGACTATTCGACTAATCGGTTAACC